AAATATTATTTAAAAAATATATAGCTATTTATTTATTTTCTTTTAATTAGTAGTAATATTTAATAAAATAAATAAAAAATATACTATTATATAATTTTTATAGCTATTTAAAACAATTAATTTAATATTTAATTTATTAGTAGGCTTAATTTAAAATAAATAAACTTTTTTAAGCTATTTAATATTAATATAGCTATCTATTTATTTATTAAATAAAGTTATATAATACTAATTAGCAATTTTTTTAAATTTCTTAAGAAATTACTACTATTAGAAATTTTTTTTTTAATATAATTCTAAAAGTTAAAATATAGCTATTAATAGTAATAATCTTAATAAATAAAATCTAACTTTATATTTATAATTCTTTAAAAAAGCCTTTTATCTTAAATTTATACTTTTAATTACTAAATTATTTAAATTTAATAAGAGAAATTTAGTTAATTAAATTTTAAATAAAAAAAATAAAAAAATAAAAGCTTATTAAAACTAATTATAATACTACTTTTATTAATATTAATAATATTCTTAAACTTAATCTGTTTATACTTCTTCTTTTTAATATTAAAAAATTAATAAACTGCCCTAAATATAAAAAAAATTAAATTTATTAGTTTTTTAATATCTTTTAATTTTAATTTTAAGTTTTAAATAATATTAAATAAATTTAATTACTTAATTATATCCTAATATTAATTATTTACTTTATTAATTTAATATAATAAAGATATAAATATAAATTTAATTATAAAATAGAATATATTCTAAAATCTCTTAATAAAAAATCTAAAGGATTAATTTATCTTTCTAATATTTAAATAGATATTATCTAAGCTAAATTTATTTATTTATAGCTAATTAACTACTAAATCTATTAAAAAGAATTCTTTATAATACTTTCTACTTCTAAGCTAATTAAAATTATAAAAAGCTATTATGTATAATATCTAATATAGCCTTAGCTATATTATCTTCTATATATTTCTAGTAAGACTATAATAAAGGTATTTTATTATATTATAAAAAACTAATATAAAAAGAAATAAAAAGAAGTAATAAGAAATTTAATCTCTAATTTAGTAACTTTACAGTATAGGGATCTGTATATATTACATACTCTATACAGCTATACAAGACTATAAAAATAAACTCTATTCAATTCTCTATCTATAAGAAGCGACTGCTTGCAAATAACTTCTATTTTAGTTAAATTCCGTATAAGTAAAATAGTTGAGTTTTATATGGCGTGTGGCTATTTTTGGTTAGCGAAAGGGTGGTGTTAGTGAAAGGGTGGTGGGGCATGGTATGAAAAGGGGGACCCTGCCCGAATCTCACTATATTATGTCACCAGAGTGTGCGTCCTTGCTTCACTTGCCACCTGATGATGTAGCCCCAATGATGTGTCTGCCGGGTTCTGCAAAGAGGATTCCGCCTCGCAGACACAGGCGAATAGAAGACAGGAACGACGTTATCGGTCATGGATGATCCCGTATCTTGAGTGGCGATAATATGTCAGTGTTACGTCGAACATGTGTTTATGTGGGACAGCATCGCTACGTCAAGGCTTCTTAAAGTAAAGCGTAACAGCGTCTAATAATTCCGTTCTCAGCATTTCGCCTTGGAGAACACAATCGCAGATATTCTAACATCATGACCGATTACGATTCAAAACGACGAGGAGGCCGTGGCCGTGAGCGTCATCATCCAAGCGACTACCTCTATTACAGCGATGACGAACGCCGGTCACGGACCAGATCCAGAGGTCGCGATCTCATCAATCGATTACGAAATCAACTGTCTAGTCGCTCCCGGTCTAGCAGAGGACGCAACCGATCTGATTCTCGCGACCGCTATCATCAACCAGGTGAGCATGTCCCAAAACAGGTCTTTTGACGACACTCGCTGAGAAAATCACCTAGAAAATGAGAAGATGGATCGCGCAATAAATGCAGCAATTGATGCGGCGGTTGTGGAGGCATTCCGATTGAGAGGAAAGCCAGGCAAGTGGACTGGTTCCAAGGGAGCTAGAGTCGCCACCGCAGCAGCTAGCGCAGCAGTCATCGACACGATGCTTCAGAAACATTCAAATAAGCATAGCAAAAGGACGATGACTGAAGCCATAGTTGGTGGTCTTATCGTAAACAGGGTTGTAAATGGGCCGCGGAAGGAGCTGAGATATCGTTGAGTTGTCAAAGAATGGCAGAAGTAATCTCGCAGGTGGAAGCGCTATCCCAAAGTTGACTGTGCAGAGGAGGTTAACGACCGGTTTGACGGATGGTATGTAATCTTAGGCAACATATTGATACTTACGATATCTTTGGGCGTTGTTGGGCCTTGCAGAGATGAGCGATCAAGAAGTTGAACGGAGACTTGGCCAAGAGCATTTGGACATGCTGCAAAGGTCGAGGAAGAAACACGAACGGCTAGGATCACCATGGAAGTGGGTTCTCATGGCACAGTGGCTCTGAAGCAAAACGCGGGTTAGAGAAATGTTCGTTGTTGACCTGAAATCATGAAGATTCTTCAACTATTTCGTCTAGATGAGCTATCAGACAGGATGGATTAGATAAGACAGCTTGGTGACGATAGAAGGTCTTGATTCCTAGCTAACTGACGGTCTGAAGGGCCGTATTTTATAGAGGAATTTGAATACACTAGATGTCTTAGTACAGCGATCGGGATCGGCCCACTGACAGCAGGATCAGCTGTTGGGCCTATTAGTCTGTCTGGGAAAATAGTCCGTAAAAAGCATATAAAATGGTATGCCTTTGACTGCCGAAGTCGGCGATGTGTCATCCTCGTCCGTTCCGTCTGACACCCTTACAGTTCTATCGATAGAAACCAACTCTACCCCGGTCCTATAAGCCAACTCTGATGGATAAAATATGGGGCGGGAATGTAACGGTCTCAAGGTAGTGTATTGCAACTAGCTAGGCCACTCTACAGAGTATACCAAACTTAAGGAAAGAAGAAGAAGAGAAAGAGAGTAGAGGAGGTCCATCCATAAATATACTCGTCATGGTGGCTTAAAGGTAAAAAGTGGGCCACGAAAGGCCGAGGGTTCCCGAGGCCACCTACGGGCACAGCCCGTTACAGGGGAAACCAACTCTACTATCCCCTCAATTGTGGTAAGCCTCACACGCGGTCACTCGCAGGGATTCGAGCAAATAAGAATTCCTTATTCAGCCTATACCTTCACCAGCGCTGATCTTCGCCTTAACCCCAAGTCAACCAGTCATAAGATTATAACAGATAAGACGTTATCGTGACTGTTACATTGAGTTTCTGCTAGTACCATAACACTGGAGCAAGTTACTTAGGGGAATCCAAAAGAGGTGCTAGTTTTTGTTAAGGATGTATGATGTGATGATGAGCAGCGTTGTGTGAAGTTTCTCCCGCTCTAAGAGAAGGAATGGGGAGAGACAGAGAAGCTTTATATATCCGAGTCGCAATTAGTACCTCTAAACTTCTCCTAGTCCGTAGCCTGAGGTATATATGAAGGGTATGCATGGGACTAAGTCGACTAAATGCGTGCGCCAAGTCTATGTCTCATCTTTCTTCAACGGATGCCTTCAGGCTTATCACTGTCTGAAGACGCCCAAAGGGTCAGGTTGTCACAAAGGAGTTGCATGATGAGGATGCTGTCGCCATCAGGCTCCTCGGTCAGGGCATCGAGCTCGGCGTTGGCATCATCAAAAGCATGCTTCGCAAGACGCCGGGCAAGATCGCGTGAATCCAGAATTTTGTAGTAGAAGACAGAGAAGTTGAGAGCCAAGCCCAGCCGCAATGGGTGAGTGGCCGTGAACTCTGTTTGAGCAACATTGGCAGCAATCTAAGAAGCAAACAAAAATCTCTGATCAGTACACCTTGGCTGACTGAATTCTGAACCAACATATTTGGAACCCACCTTGTAGGCCTTGTATGCAGAGGTAACTGCAAGATTGTGCTCCTCACCCGACACGAACCCGGCTAGGTAACGGCTGTAGTCACCCTTCCTAAAAATATGAGGAGTCAGCCCAAGTGTCCTTGAGAAAGGGAGACCAATAAATAGGCATACATCTTGTAATATAAGGCCTTCGACTCGCCAGTACTGGCATTGGGAATCAGGCTCCCGTCTAGCAGATCCAAGACGTCCCGGCAGATCTTCTCGAGCTCATTCTCAATCTTAATGCGGTATCCACGTATAGTAGTAGTATGCGTCTCATTACCCCTTAACTCGTTTTGCTCGATCGAGGAGATAATGCGCCAGCTGGCACGGCGGGTGCCGAACACGTTGTTAAAAGCAGTGGTGAGAAGGTTCCGCTCATCGACACTCAGCTCACTACCCGTCTTGACGACTTCCTTCAGAAAGGGGACCATATCATCGTAGCGCTCAGCCTGGCCACAAAGGCGAGCGAGGAAAATCTGGCTACAGCCATAAAATCAGTGTGATGGGCGTGGAGAGACCGATCGAGCGGGAGAGACAAACTTCTTACGCTGCATGATGGGTGTCTGGTTTGGTGTATTGCAGCGGTATGGTGGGGCTCTACAAAAAGAGAATCGTATTTCGGACTAGAACTGTGTCAGATAAAGGAAAATGCGCTGCTAGAATGGGAGAAAATGAGGTAAAAACGCAGCGACAACAGTGACAGGAAGGAGCGCGTGGCGGGGGCAATTCAAGACGGTTTGTTTGTGAACTTCCAAGTGTGGTGTATCGGTTTCGAGCTTATCGGGCAGAGAGGAGCGGTATAAATGGTGGTTAGGAGTCTACAGCATGCCGTGGTCGGGCAAATTTAGTGGGTTGCGCACCAAGCCGCTGACTGAACATTGACGTTGGTCCTAGCGGCACGCTCAGGCCCACGCTTTGCTGCACCTTCAAAGGTGGCAGTGGATCTGCGTCTTTCTCTTCCAATTCGTCATGGCCATGTCATCCTCCTCCTTCTCCTCGTCGGGCATGTGGCTGGTTGACAGCTCCATCTCCCGCCGCCAGTGTCTTAGGCCCATGCATACCGGCCCGGACGCGGGGTCGAAGGCCTTCAGTCCACCGTAGTAGGCTCGACCCTCACAAAACACCATTCAACGCACGAGAGCCGTGCAGAACACCAATATATCGGCTTGAATACACTTGATCAGGAAATTAGGGCTTTATATAGACGTCTGTATGCTTTAGAGACGATGCGCAGCATTCTCATCTACGTTGGATGATTACCAGGGATCGATCGGGTCGGATCAGCACCAGCCAACTAACGGGACGCATATTGTTAAGAGGTCAACGATGTGTGCATTGATGATTATCACTAGCTGGCTTCCTTCAACACATATACAGCTCACAGCAGAAGCGCAAAGTACAACCCGAAGTCAAACTAATGAGTGGGAAAACTGAGAAAGAATGGTTCTCTTCAGCTTAGGGTGGCAAGATCCCTGAAGCCGATCATTATTGTTCGCTTATTCTCTATTGTCTAAGTTAATCTTGCTTGGCCATCTTCGTCCTCCTCCGAGTCCGGCTGACCAGTCGTTGGATTGGACATGGGTGGTAGGGATGTGTTAGCCCGGGATTGCTGGAAGCTCGCTGGGGGCGCAGTGCGAGCCAGGGGAAGAACCCTGCAGGCGTGCACGGGCGAAAAGCGTGTATTTTGCGAAAGACTCATAAAAACGACGAGAATGCTTGGGACACGGACGTGTGCACGGACGCGAAAATAGTACTCCAGTCGTCAGGTCGACATTCCCAGCAAAGCTTGGCGTCCTGGAAAGCAGCCCGGCATATTAGCGCAGTCTCCCGTGACAATCGAATCGACGTCTTCTTTCTGAACTCTCATAGTAAGGCCGTAAACGAGTTCCAAGTTGGTAACGGTCCTTAGAGATATGAGTTTATGAGGGGTACCTTTCTTTATCGCCCTGTAGGCTGTAGCGGTCTCCACTGGTCTGAACTATCTCAGCGTCTTCACCATTGGCGAAGACGGCCAGCTTTGTCAGATCAGAGAGGGCAGAACGGGCTTTTGAGGTATTGACTGGAGTCTAGTTGGGGCCACCGGCAGCTGTTGCGAGAAGTGGAAACCATCTGGACGTGTTTATTATCAGCACCGACAGCGCTCTCTAGCGCAAACGGTTTGATGGGTCGAACTGGATACCATCACTAGCAACTGTCACACCCAACAGACTAAAAGGTCACACATTTGATCAAACCGGAAGGAAGGTCTTCCAGCCAGAGGTTGTATCATCCATGTCCCCCAAAAAAGCAAGTTCTTCAACACAACAACCCTAGACAGGTGATGGCTCGTGAAAGCTGCCATATTTGGTCCTCGTATCCTCTCGATCCTCCCGTGTCCGGCTCATGTCTGTTGGCCCCCCTGCTTAGGAACGTCCCTTGAATTCCCTCTTCTTCAATATCCAGAATGTCAACTTAGGCCTTAGAAGTCCTCTCGTCGCAACCTATTATCCGGGCTGGCAATCACGATCCGAGGAGCTGGATCCTTTATGTCATCGTATAGTAATGTTCTCCACAGCTGGGAGATCTTGCGTTCGGTTCTCGCCTAGATGTTATCGCCACCACACCGTACTAATGATCCCGCCATCCAGCTGGATGAGTACCGCTTCCCCAATGTCTCGAAACAATATGGTATATCAGCCGTAGCAAATTCGGTAATTGTGGCTGTACTGAAGTCTTACTGGTTCTAGATATATGTGGGTGTGAAGCGTGATACTATGCACGCCGCATGGGGCAAACGTCTTAGTATGGAAGTTTCTGAGTAACTAATACAACTTCGCATATGGTCTGAATCCAGAGCGAGAATCCGGTAGGACTGCCCAGTCTTGCATTTCAGCTAGCTTAATACAGCTAGAGCGCAACGAAAGTGAAGCATGTGTTAAATAACATATATAATAAGCAAGTGGCTTAAATAAGTAAGTAGCTTACTTTAAAATTCTATATAAAATACTATTTTTAATTTTTTTATAAAAACTATTAATTTTTAATAAATCTTAATTAAATATTATTTATATACTTTCTATAATATAATAATAAAATATAATTTTTTCTTAGATTTTATAAAATTTTATTTAAGAAGTTATTTTAAAATTTTAATATAAGATATTCTTATAAATAAAAATTTAAAATATTTTATTAAATAAAATTATATAAAATATTAAAAAAATATTAAGGTATTACTATATTAAAATAAAATATATAGGTAATATCTTATTATATTTTATTAAAAATTAATAGTTTTTATAGAGGAGTTAAAAATAGTATTTTATATGGGATTTTGAAGTGGGCTACTTGCTTGTCTGAGCTACTCGC